TTGGCGAGACTTCATCTCTACAACTAAAAAAAAAAAATAGCTGGGCGTGGTAGTGCACATCTGTAGTTCCATCTACTTGGAAGGCTGAGGTGGAAGGATCGCAGGAGCCCAGCAGGTTGAGGCTGTGGTGTCTGGGAGCAGGCCACTGCCTCCAGCCAGGGTGACAGAGTGAGACTCTAACTAAAAAAAAAAAATGTATTGTAAACAAGAGGTCTTGCCAAGTTGCCCAGGCTAGTCTTGAACCCCTAGGCTCAGGCAATCCTCTTGCCTCTGCTTCCCAAAGTGCTGGGATGACAGGCGTGAGCCGCCACACCAGGCTAGCTTTTTTTTTTTCGTATTGATTTATATTTGAGTCAGGGTTTCTCTCTGTTGCCTCAGCTGCAGTGCAGTGACACGATCGTAGTTCACTGCTTCCAACTCCTGGGATCAAGTGATCCTCCCGCATCAGCCTACCAGTAGCTGGGACTACAGGTACGCACCACAATGCCTAGCAATTTTTAAAAATTTTCTTGAAGAGATGAGGTCTCACTATGGCACCCAGACTGATCTAGGCCATATGTGGTGGGCCAGGTAGGCTGGAGGCACAGGGGTGCTTTCATAACCAAGACAGTTATGAATGAAGAAAGGTGGATTTATTGAAGGGAAGATACACTGCAGAGGGCACAAGACAACAGTGAGAGTGTCTGCTGTCTGCCCAGTTTTATTTTATTATTATTTTTGAATAGGAGTCTCACTCTGTCACCCAGGCTGGAGGGCAGTGGCACACTCACAGCCACCGCAGCCTCGACCCGCTGGGCTCCGGCAATCCTTCCGCCTCAGCCTTCCAAGTAGCTAGAACTACAGGGGCATGCTACTATGCCCGGCTAATTTTTTTGTGTGTGTCACTTATTGTAGAGACGAGTTCTCACCAATTTGCCCGGGCTGGTCTCGAACCCGTAGCCTCAGGCAATCTACTCACTTTGGCCTCCCAAAGTGCTGGGATGACAGGCTGAGCCAACGAGCCCGGTCGATAAGTCTATTTTAACCCTCATCTTCCTCCTCTTCTTCATCCTGATTAAGTTGGAAGTAATGTATCTGGTAACTCTCTTTGTTGTTAGCAACTACGCGCAACTAATCACATAGAATATTCTTCTTCAAATATTTTTTTGGTGAGATATTTCAAATACCTTTTGGACAAAGTCACCTTGGAAGTCACAGTGATCTCGTTCTTGCACCTTTCAATGGTCACAACTCCTCCACCGAGATTCCCAGCTTTTCCGTTCACTTTGATCCCCTCTTGAAAAAACTGCTCAAAATTGGCTGCATCCATGATTCCATCTTCTACAGGGTGGGTGCAATCAAGAGTGGACTTCAGAATCTGCTTCTTCCTCCTCACCCCCACCACAAGCTTTTTCACGGGCACCATGGTGGCAGTGGAGGCAGAAAGGGGTTTCTTTTCTTCTTTAAAAACAGGCCCAGAATGGTCTACAACCTTAAACCAGAAGCCTTTTGGAAAGGTGTCTAGGGGTGCATTCACAGACAGAGTTAGGAGACACCCTTCGGCATTTTCTAACCTGAAGATTATTTATTGTTGGGAACAAATGCTTCAGGGGCCCTTAGCATGTTTTCTAAAAAGTCGTGATTGACTGAGCCAACCACATTTCTTGCAAACAAACCACAGAAAACCCCTTCATGCGACATTTTTGTATTCTTTCCCAAGCTTGATGCCAGGGTTTGTCTTAAAGACCAGTGGAGAAGTCTACTTACATGTCCAAGCTGGGAGTAGACAAAGTATCAGGCCAGAAGATGGTGAACACATCGTTCATGTTAAAATCCGATTGGTTGTTTTTATAATGTTGATCTCCTTTTGCTGCCAAATGGCCACATAAAATGACACTTCCTCTGAAGACATTCCAACCCTAAACGAAGCCATCCCAGTGATCCCCAGGGAGACTCAATTCCCAGTGGTGTCCTGGGGAAATGGCATAGTCAGTGTTGGCTCATTTCTTCTTGTGTATTCCTGACCGAATTGTAAGCTCCTCCCTTCCACCTTCAGGTCTTGATCAGCAGCAGCAAAACAGATTACACAAGGGTGTACACCCCTGGGACTCCCTGGGTCGGCTCTGACGGCCAAGTTGTATTGTGGTCACGATCGGCCTGACTTTCGGGAAGGAATCCGGCACCCCTCCCGTTTTGGTGCCATTCCTTGGCTGCGTAAAGGTAAGAGGTGGCCTAATGGGTTGTTGGAATGTCTCCTCCCCAATCCCTCTGGTGACTGTGCATCCCTCCAGTTCTGTCCAGGCCATTTGGAACAGCAAGTTGTTTTCCCAGCTAGGAACACTCTCTACCGTTTTCAGAGGGCTTGCCCGGACTTAGTGATTCAGACAAACACCTTCCCAGTTCCCAAGTGAGTCACTTCAGCCCTGCGATCCAGCCCAGGGCCATAGAGGGGAGAAGACGGAGCCGTTTAAGAGCGCCTCCACTTTTGTGACCCTTTGAACTGCTCAGCTTCTGTGAACTGTGCCTCCCTTTGAATTGAGGCTGTCCAGCATGACAGTTTAAAGCTGGGAGGGCGGGGCTTAGAACCCAAAAGGAAGATCAAGAACAAGACAGATTGTTCTAGGGGTCGGAGTCAAAGACAGTAATGATCTATTGATTTATGGGTGGTGGTGGATTAAAACCCCAAAGTTCGGGGAGCAGGAGACCCGCTCTAAGTCAGAGGTGATGAGGTCACTAGCCAGCCACCACAACTCGCGCTTACCTGTGTCGTCACTGTTGCCTCTCCTGTTTGCGCTTCTAGAGGCTTCTAATTAATACATACATTTATAAAAACTGTCTCTTCACGGGCTAATAATGAGCATGTGTCACGAGTGTGTGAAAGAGGTTGGAAGGAGAGAGTGTGTAGTTTCTAAAATGATGACACATGACAAAGATGAAGCATGTTTTATTTTACGATCCGAACAGTAGCGTTTTCCAAACTGGCTTCTTTCCAGGGACAGCCAGGGAGTCTGACTTAATGAATGGCTGGCGTAGGCGTGGATGAGGGGTGACCTCCTCCGTGGGAAATACTAAACAATGGACGGCAAAATAAGAAACAAGACAAACATGGGGGACCGGTGGTCGGTTAACACAAAATGCTGAGTGACCCACTGGCCTGTGACTCCTAGACTTGTGAGTGACAGCTTGTCCTTACCTGCTTGTTTGAGAGGTGACCTTAGGACAGGTTGCGGGTAGACAGCCTGGGTTTGAATCCAGGTCCTGCCCTTTCTTATCAGTGGACCTTGGGCACTAGGAGGAATCTGTGCCTCAGTTTACCTCTCTGTAATATGGGGAAATCGGCAGTACCCTGTTCACGGGGTTGCTGTGGAATTAGAAATAAAATGCTTAGGAGTGCCTCGTGCTTTTATGATCAAGTCAGTCCATCAGGCCTTAAACGCAAAGCCTCCTCGATCCCAGCACTCCAGACCCAAGATGAGCCGAGGTGTGATGGCAAAGGGTTAAGTGCTTTCAACAGACATGGGGGACCAGGTGTGCTGGCTAAAACCCGTAATCCCAGCATTTGGGAGGCCAAGGCGTGAGGACTGTCTGAGTCCAGGGGTTTGAGACCAGCCCGGGCAACTTGGTGAGAACTCATCTCTACAATAAATTTACAAAAAAAAATAGCTGGGCATGATAACATGCGCCTGTAGTTCCAGCTACTAGGAAGGCTGAGATGGAAGGATGACCTGAACTCAGCAGCTCGAGGCTGCGGTGGCCGTGAGCGTGCCACTGCACTCCAGCCTGGGCAACAGAGTGAGACTCCAACTCAAAAAAAAAAAAAACCAGACATGGGACCTCGATTCTGCTTTTTTATGATCTGTGTGACCACAGATAAGTTATGTAACCCCTCGAGATTCTTCTATTTCCTAGTTTGCAAAATCGGGTTATATTATAAGCATTCCTCCCAGAGCTCCTCAAATAACCCCGGGGCTATGGCTGGCAGGCGGCAGAAGCTGGTTCCTGCCTCTTCCCCATCAGCGCCACTGGGCAGAACTGGACCAAGTGGGGAACTGGTGCTGGTGACCTCATTCCTTCTCCGCCCCCCTCCCCCAGTCCCCAGGCCTTATCCCTCCTGTGTTCTTAATTGTTATCTTTAACCTCTCACAGCTCAACTCCAAGTTTCTCACCGGGCTTCCTTCTATCAACCCTGGCCCCTTCCTTCTAACTATCGACACTGGCTCTTATCACGACTTCCAGGAAGCATCTTCCAGCCCCTGAGAACGTGAAGACCTAAGGTCCCCAGACCCATTTCAAAGCACAACCCTTGCCTTTCTTGAAACAACTTCCCCCCTATTTTTAAACTCACCCCCTTAAGGGTCAAGCCCTGTTGAATTTGCAACTGAGGAAAAGAAGACGGAGAGAAGGAGGAAACAGAATGCTCACAACGTGAAGATTTGGTTCAATTATATATTTGCCAAGTCTTTTATTTTTTCTAGAAACAATAGAAAAACAAATCAACTTTAAAAAGGAAAATGTACTTAAATAAAAAAAAAATCATGGTTTATAATACATGGTTTTGAAATCTCGTATAACTGCTATAAACGTTTTTATTAAAGTTATTTACATTTAATGGCCATCTGTACACAGAAAAATCGGGTAAATCTTAGAATTTTTAAAAAACAACTCTTAAATACAAATCTGTTAAAGAAAAAGGGAAAAAACCAAATAGAATGGCAAGCATAAAAAAAGCTCTTTTATGCCCAAAGTCCGATCTGAGGCAGTTGACATTATGGCCACACCTTTCAGTCCGAAGGCCCGGCCAAGGTTGTGAGGTTGCACTTGCACATGCATTCGAAGTCTGTTCGCAGGTCACGGGGGGCGGCAGTTCGGTCGGAGGGCTGTCCCTCCGCCCCGAGCCAGAGCTCCAGGTGGTCCCGGCCCGCCCCCAGCAGCCGCTCCGCTTACGCACAAGAGTTCCGCAGCTGTTCGAGCCTGTGTTTCAAGTGTTCGCGGCGCTGGCGCAACAAACCCTTTTCCGCAACCAGCTTCTGCTCCTCCGCCTGGACGGCCAGGATGTACACGGCGGCCTTCTTCAGGATCACCACCTTGGGGGCCTTCTCGTTGTTTTCCAGCTCCGGGATCTGGTCGCGCAGGGCGAAGAAGCTCCGCTTCAGCTCGTTCCGCCGCTGGCGCTCCAGCACGTTGTGTGTCCGCCTCTTGTCGTTCTCCTCCGTGTCCGAGGACCTGGGGCTCGAGCATTTCCGGTTGTTGCTGATCTGCCTCAGGACCCGGACGCTGTCCAACCTGGCCCGCTTGGCAGGGGGAGAGTCCCTCCTCGTGGAGGGGGGCGCCGCGTAGTTGTGCTGGTGGGTGGAGACGTGGCAGCGCTTCAGGACCAGCGGGCTGTGGGGCGGCTTGCTGGGGCCTCCGGCGGGGGGGGACCCCGGCTCCGACCCCTTGGCCGGGGGCTGCCGCTTCTCCACGGAGACGACGTCGATTTCCTCGTCCTCGTGTTCGTCCTCTTGAGGAAGGGAGAGAGAAAGCGGCGGCAGTCAACGGCCAGACCGCCCCCACGCTGGGCGAAGGCCAGGCGCCGGAATGCGGGCGGGACTCAGGACCCCGCGCTCCCTGGGAAACCAAACCCAGCCAACCGTGCCCCTCCCCTCCTCACCAGGAAGGCAGGGTCACACAGCAAGACTGACAGCCGCGGTCCCGGCAGAGCAAATGGCCACTTGCCAGGACAGGACGCGGTGCCCCTTCGTACCCAAGACTCAGTGAGGCTTTGGACACACCCAGAGCAAAGCGCGTTCCCAAGCACCTCCCATTTCCAAGGGACTTGACCAAGGGCCCTTCAGGTGTTGCGGCCAGTCGCTTGGTATGGCTTTAACAACTCCCCAGGTTACTGGGAGATCTTGCAGGTTTGCCAAAAGTCCTGGGGCGGGGGAGAAGCCCAATCCTGGCCAGGATTTGCTTAAGGCTGAGACAACCTGGGCCCTCGGCCCACCCACCCCCGAGGAACTTTCTCTCACTCCGGCAGGACCGCAGTCCCTCGTTTCTGCAGAAGCCGAGCTCATTCAAGCCCAGCCACTTCTCCGTGGTCCAGGGAAGAGGAAGGCTGCCTCCCATCCACTCTCCCGGGGATCAGGGGATCCCTCCACTCTTATCCCCACTCACACCCCCCACTCGGGGCAATTAAAGTGCTCGAAGGAGGTAAGAGGGGGTGGACGGGGTTGAGAGATAAGCCAGAGCTTCAGAAACCCAAATGGAATTCCTGAGGGGT